ACAGTGTAATGTGACTGAAAGTGACAGCTTTAGATATGATGGCCACATATCATATACCCTGCTGGAAGTGACTGTGTTATGGGGTTCTTTTCCACATTTCTGGAATGTTTGAATTTTTGATGACCACAAATGCCTTTTTTAATCCAAATAAAATGGTTTGAGTAATAAAACCCATTATAAAGCTTAGAGATGAAAATCCTTGAATCTTTAGCAGGCATCCTCTGGTTCTTGCCTCCTAGGCAGCTTATACTTCCTCAGCGGTCATTTCCATAAGCAGGACTGCCCTGGCTTATCAGTGGGGTGGCTGGTGGCCTGCCTGACTTGACAGACAGAACCCGACATTAGGGGGACCATGGCAAAGGGGGCTGCTCCTGGCTAGCAATGCCTCAGGCTTGGTTAGCATCTTGACACAGAGAGGAAGCCTGTGGCCTGGGTAGAATGGGGCCAGGGAGGGACATGAGAAAAGCTGGAGGAGCAGGAGGGTCTGAGGGCAGAGCTCTGATGGGCATTCCATGAGGTGTGTCTAGAAGGGGTGATAGTGGGAGACAGTTTGAGGGAATTGAGACCTCCCCAACTCACACTGTCTCAGCTGGACAGTCTGGACTTCTTCCAGAGGGAGTTAAACCCCGTGTCATCTCTCTGTTTCACCACAGATGCTGTACGTGAGATTTCGAAGTATGACGACGTGACAGAGAAGGTTAACCTCCAGAACAACCCTGGAGCGGTGGAACACTTCCACATGAAGCTTTTCCGTGCCCAGCGGAATCTCTACATTGCTGGCTTTTCCTTGCTGCTGTCCTTGTGAGTGGGGAGGGGTGAGGGACTGTGAGGGGGCCTCTGGGCTGTGACTTTGATTCCTCAGTAGATGGCCTTGAACCCGAGGCCTGTCTATGTTAGGGGATCCACACAGTTTCCCCAGAGGCCTCCAGTTTTTCCCCTGACCTCCAGAGGCAACATAAAGAGTGAGACAGGACTGACTGGAAGGTTAGAAGATGCGAGTTCTGGCTCTGCCACAACTTGCCACATGCTCTCTTAGGGCAAATGCATTAGCAGCTTGCTCTCTGTACATAGTGTGAAGTGAGGTGTTTCCCTCCTCTGGGAGAAGCAGAAGGTTAAACTGGCTTCTTGCCTTGGGAGGAATGGGTAAAGGCATGGCTGAGACTGACTGTGTCCCTAGGGCCTTCCCAGATGTTAGACCTCTGGGAGCACATTCTGATCCGTGGCAGTCTGTTTATTTCTTCCTTTTTTTTTTGTAAGATTGAATGCCTTGATTAGGGTCATGGGTTGGCTAGTTGGGCAAGACTAGACTGATAGGAAGCACCTGTTTGAGCTTGGGGCTGGTTCACTGCCTCTTGCTCACAGGGGTTCTGATTGGGGCCCTGGCTGTTCTCAAGTATGCTGACTGGCAGCGGGTAGACAGAACACAGGCCAAGGGCTTTCGGAGGAGTCCGGATGGCACTCATTGTGCGGATACTCAGAAGCCGGGTGAGTGTTTGGATCCTTGGTTGGGCTGGGATCTCCCACCACCCGTCACCTGGTCATCCTTTTTCACTAGGCATTAGAATGACTACATGTCTGGGTTTCAGTTTTGCAGAAAAAGTCAGTTGCTCAGGTGAGCCTGCCCTCTCTGGGTCAGAGTTGGAAAAGTGGCAGGGGTGGTGCTGGATAGGGCAGACAGCTCTTCAAGGTGAGCCGAATGATCAGAGCCGGGAAATGAGAAGGCTAGAAGGAGTCGGACACAGACTCTAGAATTTTAGGGTTTCTGGAACCTCTGAAAAAGATGATGATCTTGTAGGCTGAGACTGAAAGGGAGGCAAAAACAGGATTCTGACTCCATCTGCATGGGAGCTGGGAGGGGTGGAGTGGGACATGAAGGCACTGTAAGTCTGAGGGACTACAGAAGCACTCAGGGCTTCCCAGCCAGGTCACATCTCATCTGAAAGATAGGAAGGACAGGACGAAAAGCAGGGACTGCCCCAGAAGAGCACACGGAGCTTAAGAATAGTATCAGGAAGGCGGAACCCTGCAATGAACTCTGGATTGTGAAGCACGGTGTAGGACATGGGAGAAGAAGTCCCCTTAATGTTTCTGTGTCAAGTAAAGAATGGTGGGCAGAAGGTTAAGGGTCAAGGAGGCATTGGGATGAGATGATTGAAGTCTCAGAAGGGTAAAGGTACGTTGAAGTGCCCAGCTACTCAAAATGACTTAGCTTCCACTTGTGCTTGATGGCATTATGTCTGGGGGATCTTGCAATTGTTTGTAGATGGAATTGCGAGTTGGGAGAGATTCTGGAAGACTACAGACAGGCAAGCATCTCAATTTCCAAAGGGAGGCGAAGATAGATGAGATAATGACTAGAATGGGAGGATCTGACTCTTATCTCAAGCCATGTTCTAGAAAGAATAGCTTGTGTGCATTTACGTGCAAAGAGGCATAGTTGGTGACTACTCTGAATTCTTTAGAGAGCCAGTTCTCTCAGTCTGCCCCCGCCTTCTGTTGAGCTAGTATATGTGGGTTTTTGGCAGGATGATTGCCAGGCTCCAATTCAATTTTTAAAAAAAAATATTTTTTTTGATTTCAGAGAGGAAGGGAGAGGGATAAAGAGAAACATCAATGATGAGAGAGAATCATTGATTGGCTGCCTCCTGCACACCCCACACTGGGGATCGAGCCCGCAACCACGGCATGTGCCCTGACCAGGAATCGAACCGTGACCTCCTGGTTCATAGGTCGACGCTCAACCACCAAGCCATGCCGGCCGGGTTCCAATTCAATTTTTATGGACCAGGTGCTGAAGTGTGGCCCCATGCTGCCGTAACAGTGTCATTGGGCGGGGTTTTAACTCCCATGAGTGGCTGCCCCATGGATCAGTTCCATCCAAATAGAGGCCTCAGGAGCTTGTGCTCTACCCCCAACCTGCTCAGTGTTCTGTGCTGAAGGCGGTTGTCATGGTGAGCAGATGCAGAGAGATATGAAAGCTAGGAGGAAGTGAACAGCAGGTAGGTTAGCTACCTCTCAATCCTCAGTTGTCTAGGTGGTGTTGATTCGAATGGGACTTGAGTTTTTAAAAGGGAAACATTTGTAAACGTGTGTGTAGATTCATATAGGGCCGAACATGAACTTGAAAGACTTGTGGTCGTGGCTCATTGCATCTCAATGAGGTACTGCAAAAGCTGATGAACCCTTGGTGCCCTTTAGTGAAGGCTGGAACCACCAGGCCAGGTTCTATGGGCCTCCTGATCCTGTTCCAAGTGTCTGTCTCTCTCTTACTGTCTGTCTCTTCCTTGTCTGTGTTTGCACACATCTCACTGGGAGGCACGGACTCAATACCTAAACCTCCTTAGGTACTGGCTAAGTTGGGAAGGGAGGCAGAGCCAGGGTGGATAAGTCAGGAGTGGCAGGAGACAGGCTAGAGGGTTTTGAGTGAGTTTGAACCCAACCTCCATGTGGTAAAGCACTGTGTTTTTCCAAGGCTGCTGCACCATGGTCAGAATTGGGTGTTTGTATTTGGTGACAGTGCATGGGATGGAGTAGAGCATCCTGGGAGCAGGGAGACCAAGATGGGGGTCGCTGGAGTGAGAGATGCTGGCAGCCTGAACCAGGGAGTGGTAGCATAAGTTGAGATTGAGGGACAGGTTTAAGAGGTTTGATGGGAGATAGGGGAGCAGCTAACAGGGACACCAATCATCTGAGGCTGACATGGTGGCAATTCTGCTGTGGGCATCTGCAGAGCAGCAGCTGAGGCAGAAGCTGGAGGGCCGCCTGCACGCATGCATACACGGAAGGGAGGGAGGGACGGAGGGGGGGAGCCAGTGAGGCCCATCAGAAGGAACGAGGAAATCGGTGAAGGAGGGGAAGGTCAGCAAGATGGCACGTGTCTCAGCCTAGAAACCCGAGGGTGATCTGCCTTTCTGTCTTTTCACACACGTGCTCCCCCTGCTCGTGTATGTTTATACTAAGTGTTCAGGTCAGGTCTGTAATGTTGAGTCTGTGCACACTTTGTACAATCAACCTCCAGAATTCAGTTCATCTTGTAATATGGAAACTGCTCCAGTTCTACAGCCTACGTATGTCTCCTGAGTGCTGCTTCAGTGCCCTGGGAGCCATTGTCATGGTGGGGCTTCCTGCTGCCATTCTTGTTCCCCTAGCCAAGTGACCTTTTCTGTCATCAAAACCAATTCTACTGCCCCCTGCTTCTAGTGCCTTCATAGCACCTTTGGTATATATGCCTCACCCAGATCCTTTAGGACATGATCACTCCCTGCAGCCTTCCACAGCCCCTGCTTTGGCCTCTCCGTGTCTGAGCTGATGGCAGGAATCCCAGTAGGGCTAGTGAAGAAATACTTCTAGGCCCCCAGAGGATGCAGATGCTATATGATGAGATTGGGCTTTGGAATTGGGCCTGGGTTGGGATCCTGTGTCTTAGCTGTGTGACTTTGGGTAAGTCACTTACCCTCTTTGAGCCTTTTCCCTTATCTGTAGAGCAGGAATGAGGATACCTCTCTCAGGTGATTAGTGTAAGGGTCGAGGTGACTCAGGTCATGGTCGCAGCATCATGACTGGCACTTGGGGACTGTTTAATAAATGGTAACATTTATCAGTATCACCCCAAGTAGTTATAGAGTTTTGTGGGATTTTTTCTCACGTGTGCGGTCGGCTATGCCAGCCCAAGTAGGGAAAGGAAGAGAAGGCCAGGTCTTGGTTTTCAGGGGTCTTATGTTCTGGGCTGGGTATGGGGTGGTAGCAGAGTAGAGTAGGACAGAGAGGACAGGTATTGCAGCAAGAGCAGAGGGCAGGGGAAAGGCTTTCCCAGGTAGAGGCCAAACAGGAGTTGGAGGCATGAAAAGAAAAAGGAAAAAGAGTTGGAGGCAGGCAAGCCGAGATGTCTTTAGGGCCCTGGGCATCCAGTTGGATGATGCTACGGGGTTCTCAGCCCATGGCAGACTGCTTGCTTAGTTGAAACACACATAGAGGCAGAATAGAATGGTCCTCTGTGAATGTCACCCAGCTTTAGCAGTAAACGTCCGCCAGTCTTGTTTTATCTGCCCCCATCCCCACTGTGCCCTGGCTCTGGATTATTTTGAAGCAAATCCCAGATATCATGTTTAAAGGCAAAATAATATTTTGGTTCATCGCTTTGAAAAGAGATGGTTGGGCATTTTCCCATGCACCGAAAGGTTGCTGGTTCAATTCCGGGTCAGGGCACATGCCCAGATTGGGGGCTTGATAGGGAGGCAGCCAGCCGATCAATGTTTATCTCTCTCTCTCTCTCTCTCTCTTTCTTTCTCTCCCCCCCCTCAAAATCAATAAAAAAACTTAAATAAGCACGCTAATACCTCTCCTACAAGAACTTTACAGTAATTCCTTAATAATATAAACTTATGAGTGCCTGCTTACAATTCCCTGATTACCTTGCAGGGTTTTTCTTTTTTTATATAATTTATTTGTTTATATTGGTATCTAACTGAGATATTTTTAAAAATCCTATTGCTCAGGCCTACCCAAAGATAGTGATTTAAGTGGAGGGAACACTGCTGTAGAAGGCCAGCCAGAGGGATTTTTTGCCTTTAGTTCCACTCGATCCATGCATCTGTTGGCTGCCATAATTTTCTAAGAATACAAAGACAGTAGCACTTTAGATCTAGGCTTTTAAATCTTTTTAAAAGTATTTTTTTGTTGATTTCAAAAAGAGGAAGGGAGAGGGGGAGATAGAAACATTAATGATGAGAGAGAATCATTGATTGGCTGCCTCCTACATGCCTCACACTGGGGATTGAGTCCGCAACCCCGGCATGTGCCCT